GCTCACGCTGTGGGCTGAGGAGATGCTTCTGTCCTTGACCCCTCTCATTCCATTCCATCACGCCAAGTTTGAAAAACACTGTTTAGATCATTGATTTTTCAGGAATATTGGCTCTTGCCTTACAACCCCTCTAATAATATAATTATCAGGGCACTTAGATTTGTTCTACTTGAATTATTTATTCTCCAAGAGAAATATATTGATTTACTTAAATGTTGCATTTTTTTCTTTTATAGTCCATAAAATTTGGCAAAGGTTAATAAGCTAATGTCGAAGTACGTGTCATCTTATTGTTCTATTGACTAACTGATGTATTTCACTATTTTATGTTCGTTGGTCAATGACTGTAATAAAGAATATCTAATTATCTAACTTTCTGAAGAGTAAGGGGTTAGGGGGGTGTCATCTGGGACCAAAATATATACATTGTAGTTGGTTTAGGTCCAAAAAGAAACATGTTTGAGAAAAAAAGGCACATTAGAGAAGTTTGGCCTGCATGGTGCTGTGTGTGTGGTGTTTGTGTTCATACTTATTCCTGATAGAGGCTGTTGCAGAGACTGAAAACGACAGCAACAGTAAATCTGTTTGCATAAGTATCAGATCCCATTTAATCGATCTGAAAATCAATGTTGATTTTTAGATGGTTGGCTTTATGGTCCCATCATTTTTATCACATTGTACTTTTTAAATTATTAACCATTTGCTCCAGCTATGGTCAAAGGTAATATTTTCCATTACACTTGATACGCATATCCATTATCCGAACTGTTTTTCTATTGCGAGATGTTTCCTGCTGATAGGCACATGACCTTTGGCTCTGTTAAGCAGCCTCTGGAGTCCTGTCTGAGTACTGAATGTTTTCTATGTGCAAGAAAGCCAGACATCATAGCATCTTGATAGTAGTAATTTAGCATCAAATCAAATATCTTTATTACAGTCTTTGACCAGCCTTTACAGAAGGAAAAGAGAAATAGTTTGGTACAGCAATTCATTATCATGAAAAGAAGAAAACAATAAGACAATACAACATATCTAATTAAAAGTTTTGCGCACTTGTATGACTTGATGAAGATATATGGCCACCTGGTATGTGAGTGTAGAGTCAGCATCCCTTAAAAAGTAATAAATGTAAAATTTATCAGTATGATCCTCAAATTTAGAGATGATTGGGGAGATCAAAGCACGTCTTGGAGCATCATAACAAGGACACTGTTTGAGGACATGGACAAGAGTTTTTACCTTCCTGGATCCACAAGGGCAAAGTCTCTGTAAATAAGGAGTCCCATGAAATCTTCCCGCCAGCACTGCTGAAGGGAAGGCCTCAAAGCGGGCTCTGGAAAAGGCCCATCTATATTTGCTTAGGGTTAGATTATACAGATATACTGTAGTAGCGGGCTTGTGGCTATCTAACAATTGGTGATAGAATTCAGGAGCACTGGCGATATCATTTTGGCAATCAGTGTCCCTAATTCTTTCTTTTACTATTGTATATAGATTCAAGTCAGAGTAATTTGTATATTTGCCAGATGTTGAAGCCCTAGGCAGTGGTCTATGGTGGATTGTCCCAGTTGGAACCCTGCTTGCTCAGGGTCGACTATTCCCTCATCTATTACCCAGGTTTGGAGTTTGGTGATGGCATATAGTTTGCTAATGATGTTCAATAAACTAATTGGCCTATAATTAGCCGGTTGTTCCTATCACCCTTTTTATATAAGGGAATGATTATAGCTTCCCCCCAGTCCTCTGGAACTTTAGCTGTGTGGTTAATATATGACAATAAGGTGGCCAATAGAGGGGCCCACCCATTTGAAGTGTATTTAATTAGCTCAGGGGGGATACAGTCACTCCTGGGGGCTTCAACACACACTTAAGATGGTGAATGAGATTTTTAACTTCCTTGCATGTGACTGGGGGCCACTGTGATAGTGAGGATAAAGGTACATCCATCACATACGGATCGCAATAAAGGGCTTGGAAGTGACGTACCCAGGCACTTGAGGGGATGCTACAATGCAATTGTGTAATGCTGTTATAGGAACAATTTGTTACAGTAAGCCAAAATAGGGAAGGATTTTTGGACTTTGTACCTTCGATTAGCTGTGACAATTTGTTCTTCTGATCTTGGGTATTTTTCTCTGTGAGCAGAGCCTTGTATTGTCTTTTCTGCCCCTTTTGGATGGAATCTGGTGAATTGGCCTTCAGTGAGGTAGCGTAGGATTTAGCATAGGTTTTACCCCCGGAAACAGCAGTCACTCAAGTCAGTCTCTCATCTCCAATGGCTATGAATGTCATGACTGATCTTTTAATATAGCAATATACTTGCAACCTTAGCATGAGGATTAGGAGGGGAATTTCCTTGGTTAGGGATTAGAATGCCTATGTAGCACCTTCCATGTATGCTGGGATTACAGTTGTCAGAAGTTGACAATACTGACTTGATGGCACATAATCAGTCAATCAGTCAATCAGTTATTCAACTTGTTTATAAAAAGGAAATGTTCAGATAAGCCTGTCACTTAGAACCAGGAACACTGGAACAAAAAGACTCCAGGATCCCATTATCATTATACAAAACCAGAAAAAAAAAGATTGTTTCTTCAAAAGTGGCAAATCAATTCCCATTTGGTCACTTATTAATCAGACTTTTCCCATTAACTCAGTTCTGAAAGCCTGAGACAGACATTTAATGGCTCATCCATCTGTAAAATACAGCTTTTATTTGAACTAGGTACAAATTATTTTGCACTTTATTTGGTATTTTCTGTGTATTTGCATAAAGTTAGACTTTGCCTCCTGCTCTCTGTACAGCATGGCATATTATTTGTGTTGTATGTACCCTGAACTAAATTCTGCACCAAGAAAAGCCCCATTCTCTAATCCCCCAGCTCATGCTGGCTGGGGAATTCTGGGAGTTGAAATCCACATGTCTTAAAGTTCCCAAGGTTGAGAAACACTGCCCTAACTTCTACAAGTATCTGCAGGCTTGCACAATTTTCCTTTTTCAGAATTATTTCTCTATCTGGCAGTTATGGAGACACAGAGAGCTTTGAAAATTTCACCCAATGGGTTTTTAACACACTTTTCAGCATATCATCTCAGCTTGAAGGCTTGAAAACTACTCATAAAAATGAAGCATGAGATTCTCAGAATTTTGGGGGCTAGTTGTTATAGAATTGCTGCCCATTCCCAGCTCTGGTTATCACAAATGCAGGGCAAAGTCAGTGAGCTCAGAGTTCTGCTAATACAGTGATTTATTTGCAAAAGCCCTATCCTTGCACGTGTTTGTAGAAGTGCTACGATAAATATTTCAGAAAAATTTAAATGTGTTCTGATTCACAGTGTGGAAGACTAAAAAAAGTAATGATTTTTATTACTTACAAGGCTGCAGTTGACAGGCAGTATCTTAGAAAAGGCATCTTACTTCTATAGGAAGAAGTGACTATTTTATAATGCTACCGGTCTACATCTAAAAATAAGCATTGCCTTTTACTTCAGAAGAACTATATTTTTACTCATATGCAAAATTAGTTTATTAACCTACAAATATACATATGTGACACAGTTTAAGATTTCTTAAATTGCACAGTAGTCCTAAATATAATACATGGTTTGTGGATTAGCCAGACTTCCATGAATAGTTTGTGTTTATTATACAGTAAATGTCTAGCTAGCTATTGCCTTTTGAGATACTAATCTTTGATCCTTCCCTCCCTCCCTCCTTCCTTTCCATTTCTTTTTTCATTTGACAAAACTAAATCCTATCTTTGGCTGAAATGAAATGTATAACATGAGTGGCTGCCCAAATTGTTCTTCAGAAGATCTTGAACTGATCTTCATGCACTTGTATACTTCTTAGTAAAAGCCAATGTCACACAAGTATAGCTGTCTCGAAAGGAAACTTAAGACTGGTAACTGAACATGAAGCGGAGGTCTTTCCAACTTTTCCTGAAGTCCAGATCAACAAGAAGATTAGAGCTGTCTTTGAAGCAAAAGACATTTTTCTTGGCATTAAATTTAATAATTTAATTATTAAAAGTACATGTTTTACTGGCAAGGGCATAGAAGTAGTACAAACTGATTTACAGATTTAAAACACTCTTTTAGAAGTAATTAAATTTTGTGAATTGCAGCTAAAAAGAAAATAATGCAGGTTGACCTTATTGGGAAGCACTTCAAATCATCGATTCCAAAGGGCTTTCCTTTTTGTTTTGTGTTCATTAACAAAGAACTTTGTCTTTTTTTTCTTTAGGTGGGTAATATTAAAGCCTAGCAGCAAAACTGGCAGAGTTGCTACAGAGGAAGACACCATGTGACGTGTACAACCAGGATCATTTCTCTTCTGTCCTAGCCCCTCAGCATTCTTCCTGCTTTCTGGGGTTTGGGGATTTTTTTTCTCCTCTCGCAAGTGGATAAATGAGAGTAAAAGGAATGGAAACTGCCTGAAAGTCCTTCTGGAGCAAACCAGGAGTCTTTCTGTTCCATTACATGCTCTTCAGTGGTAATTATCTGTGTGCTCCTGAAAAGATGTAATATGGAGTGGGGTGATCAGGACCATTCTGCTTTTCTTACTACCTTGCCCTTAGGAGGATGTTGCCTCAGAGTAAGGGTTGTGTAATGCTCTTGATGAGAGCCACTTTGGTGTAGTGGTTAAAAACACCAGGCTAGAAACCAGGAGACCATGAATTCTACTCCCACCATAGGTACAAAACTGCCTGGGTGACCTTGGGCCAGTCACTCTCTTTCAGCCCTAGGAAGCAGGCAAGGGCAAATCACCTCCCAAAATCTTGCCAAGAAAACTGCAGGGACCTGTCCAGGCATTGCAAGGAGTCAAGGCTGACTCAAAGGCATATATATGTGCATGTGTGCCCCCCGCCACACACCACAATATAAATTTGAAAAATAAATAAATCATATTATGTCATGAGAGCCGGGATGGTATAAAAAGGCTGGATCTGAACCAGGGAGACCCAGATTCTGATCACCCATGAAGCTCACTGTAGATCAGTGACTATTCCTGAGCTTCATTTACCTTACAGGTTTGTCTAGAAATAAAATGGACTACTATAAAGAGATTTTGTATGTCTTCTTAAGCTTTTTGGAGGAAAGCGGAAAACCATATAATCATAAGCCAAAGGAAGGGCCCATTTCTCAAGGAACCTATAATGAAAACCTCAGGGAGGAGCAGGCAGTGGGGATAAAGGAAGAACAGCAAACAGTTGTCTGCTACAGAATGTTTATGAGCTGGGAGGCTGTTGTACCATGATCTCTTTGTTCGTAATAAGGCAAAAGGTAAATGTTTTTTGCTAGGACCAAAGAGTTCCTTGAGCTGAAATGCCACCATTAATTCAAAAGAGTTTGATTCATAGCTCAACTCAATCCAGTTCTTGGATGGATAGCTGGTCCCCTGCCTAGAAACAGGAGAAATAGCTGTCTACAGTGCCAAATTATTTACAGATGAATAAAGTGAGTAAGCATTGATACCTTGCACAGCCCCTGAGTCTTATTCAAAGGGAAGCAAGAATGTGCTTCTCAATCAGTTTTCCTCAGCATGATACCCTCCAGATACACTGGGACTATAACTCCCAATTGGAGAAGTCTGTTCTGGATTGATTAAGCTCTCAGTGGATCTTTCTGATTAGATTTTTGGACTGTACGTTGGCTACTTCTTCAGAAATGCACACTGTTTATTATAATCATAAAAACACATTGTTCTGTAGCTAACAGAACCTTTAACTGTATATTGCTAAAATATATGACATCATGTTATTGTTTTGGAAAATGCTGTGACTTTATTTAATTTAAATAAATTAAATGGGCTCATTTAATTGCCCATTTTGCTCATGATACAGTATTGTTGGGGGAGACTTAAATGCTAAAGTGGGATCAAATTATAAGGCCTTTTATGCAAAATATCAAAGCTGCCCTTAGTCATTGAGGACATGCCTTTCCAAGAATGCTAAATGTAATTTGGCAGGGTTTAAACTGGCCCAAATGGCTAATCCACTGGAACTATTTATTGTAAGCAAAACAGTGGACTGTGACAATCTAGGAGACTTTCCTTCTGTTCTGGATGGAAATTATCAAACTTTGGTTACCTGCTGGCATCCCACAATCTAGTAAACAATGTTTGCCTCCCGTCCAAATAATGAACATGTGCTACTGGCCCTAAATTTTAAATTTAATTTTTAAGCTCCTCCCCTAGATCTGTTGCCAGCAAGTTTGGAAAATGCAACAGTGGCCA